TTGTTCAGATCCTCTCCCTTACCATTCTTGCTTATTTTTCCAGTAGCATCTTCAATCATTACAAAGTTATTCCCTACTTTTTCATTGCCTGAACTCTGAGCCACAGCTGGTTTATCAGAGATTTGTTCTGCACTTTTTTGCTCACCATCTGCAGTTGAATCTCCTGCTTTCTTGTCTATAGTTCCTTTCCCAGCGTGTGATTTAATACCAGCCTTTCCCTGTTGAGTCAAAACTAGCTTCTCACCAATACCCTCATTGACCCTAACAGTTTGGCCAGCTGCTTCAGTACCAGCTGACAGAATTTTTGCAGCATTAGCCAACTCTGTTTCCTCTGTTTTTTTAGCCTCTGGATTTTTAACCTTATCACCTGAGAAATTGCCATTTAGTGCCCCATTACCTTCCTGTAGCTGACCCTTAGAAACTTGTTCAGCAGCAGCCAAGCCTTTACTACTTTGTACAGCTGCATCAATTCGATTAGCAACATTTTTTGAGCTAGGATCACTTGACAGAATTTTTGCAGCACTAGCCAATTTGTCATAAGCTTCGACAATTGGATTGACAACATTAGAGATCCTTGCTAAAGCCACCTTAGCAGGCACATCTCGAGAAGGCGGATGTGGACCTTTGTCGACCTTTGAAACATCACCAACATGATTACCTACAGAAAATCGATTTGCACTGTTTTGCATAACAACTTGCTTTTCACCTTGAATTTGTAAGCCCTGCTGTCCAGGTAATGTGTTACCAATAGCAGAATTGTTACCAATAGCAGAATTCCTTACATTCCCATTGTTCTGCACAACAGTTTGTGTTCCTCCTTCTATCTGTGAGTCTTGATGCTCATCTGCTCTTTCCTTTGTTGTTTCCTCCCCCTGCTGCCCAGCTCTTTTTGCGTTAAGATAAGCTCTAGCATCTCCTTGCAATCTATCCAACTTGCCCAGACCTTCCCTTTCATCCACCACTGCAACATCTACCTGATTATTCTCGATCCTCCAACGACATGATTTTTCATCGTGTCCCTGGTGTTTACAACAAGTGCAGTACTTTGGTAGATTATCAAACACGATCTGCTGGTAATGTTCTACTATTTTTCCAGAATTCATGTCCACAATATTTATCCTAACTCTCTTAGGATGTTTGTCCAATAAATTGATCAACACCTTAACCCTTGCCATGCTTGGTCGTGTTCGTTCTTGAGTCGCCTTGTCAACTGCAAGAGGCTTCCCTACTGCTGAAGCTATGGATAATAACGATTTCTTTGCAAAAAAATTGGCAGGCAGCTCTGGTAAAGAAATCCAAACCACAACTTTTGAAGTTTCTTCTCGAGGATTGAAACCTATTGTCCATGGGAAAGTCCTAAAGAAAAATTCATCTCCTTTTGCCTTAACGTAACCGGTTGTTCTTGACAACACCTGAACATAATCTTCAAAGAGATCAAAACGTACCAAGATATGATGAAACTCTAGCTGTCCAACGTTGCAATAACCTTTGACGTCGAATTGTTTTGGAATTAACTGTCGTAACTCTTGAACATCTGGTTTTCCATATGAAAATTTGAGAATTACTGCCTGATGCAGTCCTTCTTCGATGGTGAACTTGTTCACCTCTTCAACTGTGAATTCTATAGTTGGTTCTCCATGGATCATATGAACAGGAAGTAATTCCAGTTTTGACGCAATTGCACCAGTTTTTGTTTTCTGAATTTTTGCAGCATAAGACTGTTTTGGATTGTTGTTTGTTACTGTTTCTGAGTTGTTTTGGATTGTCTCTCCCACAACCAAAGGATGAGGAGAGATCGCAGCAGCCATGGCTGCCAAGATCAGAAAAAAAAGTCGCCAACCTAGAGAGAGAAAGTAGAGAGAAGGGAGAGCTTCAACGCGGTTTTTTTAGCAAATCCACTAGGTAGGTGCCTAGGGCTAGTTTTATTAATAACAAAAAGAAAAAAAAAGAACCACATAGGAAGAGTACGAATAAGGGGGACAATAGCACCAGTAATGTTGCCTCTATGCCTTGGCTATATAGTCACTCCTCTGCGCCTCACAATGCCCTTATGGCAGCCTCATGTAGAGGAATCATGGTGTAGCTGCCAGCAAAGTCTCACGAGGGCATATAATCTCATAACCATTTGGATATCTTTCCAAAGGCATAGGGCTAGAGCAACACAAACTGGACTAAACCTTACCTTACTAATCCTATTGAGGCAAATAAAAAAGTCTCACCTACTAGCAAGCATGCAAAAAGAAAGAACTAGCTAGAACTAAATATTCTATGATCATCACAGAGTTTATAACATACTCTGTGATGATATTACATAGAACTATGCTAATGTGATGGTAAAATAAAAATATGTAGAAATAACAGTAATGTTCTCTCTTCTCTAGTGTTGTGAAATCTTCAATTTGAATCCGCTTGTCTTCTTCCTCTACCTTCTTTAAAATGTCTTCAAAATTCATGCTTTCTTCTTTGAACGATTGGACTTTGTGGATGTAGTTTGGATGGCCTGTCTTTGTTTGGCAACTCTCATTGGAAGTCGCCTTACGTTTACATCTTCATTCACCCTGCCGTCCCAGCTTCTATCCCTTGTACGAGACTTCTTACTTTTTCCACTATGCATAGGTGACAAGTCTCCTTTTCTTGCTGCCTCTGCTCGACATTGATTTAGTATATCATCTTCCTCACCCTCTACATATGTATCTCTGCCCACAATCACCGGATTTGGCATGTGTTGTTCAAAATATTGTGTCACCATTGTATTTCCCTCCTGTTTATTAACCAAGCTTGTCTTGTGTTGTTGTTTTTCTATACTTTGCAATTTGTTCCTGCTTCTACTCATACGACCAGTGCTACCAGCAATAACATGTAAAGATCTGATAGGATTTGGACTTACCATTACATCCAAAAGCTGCCTTTCCTCTACTGAAATATCTGGAATGGTTGTCACAATTTGATTCTGCCCAGTCTTTTCTGTTACTGTTGCTGCACCACCAATAATAGGATTAACAGTTGAGTTGATTGGATTAGGCTGCTTCTGCTCAACATCAAGGATTGGGCTGGTTAATAATAGGATTAACAGTTGAGTTGATTGGATTAGGCTGCTTCTGCTCAGCATCAAGGATTGGGCTGGTTGCTACTGTTTGTTGCTGCCCCGATATCAGTGCTGCTGTTGGTCGATCCTTACCAGTTGGAACTATCTGCTGTGTTTGTGTTGCTGGAGCATGCATTGAACTACCAGATGGAGTTGCTGCATCTTGAATCAACTTTCCAACCACTGCTTTGTGACTAACATTAGTTGGAGAATTTCTAGGAACGAAAGCTGGAGCATTGAGGTTCCATTTGGTCGTGGGACTTGACACAGTTGTCCCATGAGGCTTTGGATTTATTGGCAAATCAATCTCCTCCCCTGCACTCTCTTGATCCACTTCCTGATCACCTTCTTCTGAAGAGTATCCAGCAATACCATCACCCCAGTCCTCTTTATCGTCCTGCTCCCTTTGATCTTTCCATAGCTTATTTTTAAAAACCATATTCCTCAACTTAGCTTGAATAATTTCGTTGTTATTCCCAGTTGATAGCATGAGTTGCCCAGATTCCCCTTCAAACTCGCCAAAAGACACTACTGATTGAGAGGGGATATCATATACGGATGTATTTAATATGACCAAAGGTTGTTTAACCATAGCAACCTTCATCATCATCTCATTCTGGGCGTCCTTAATGATTTGTTCTACATTAGGATTGGAAAAATGTAAAACTGGTGCATTGGAGCTATGTGCTTGGATGCCTATAAGTTCAGCTCCCAAATTGTTCTTTGAGTCAATTCGTCGAACTCCCATATTTTTATCCAAATCAACATTACCTTGCCCTCCTTCTTCATTGCTGGACCTTAGAACTAGTTGTTTGGACATCATATTGTCATCACCAACTGTTTCCTTTACTTCAGGATCCCCATCTGTAGCAAGGACCTCAAAAAAATTTGAGCTGGAGCCAACAGGTAGATCATTTGGTCGAGCACCTTGGTTCTGCAATTTTGGTGAAGCCCCCTTCTTTGCCGGAGATTTTCTAGATGTTACTACATTCCACTCTCCTTCCTTTTTGTTCAGTTGTCCTCCCTTAACCTCCTCAATGACATTCCCAGTTCTATTTTCAAACTCAGTGCTCTTATAACCAGTTTTTTCATACCCTGAAGTCTGAGCCACAACCTTTTTATCAGAGGTTTGTCTACTTAATTGCAGTCCACTTCCAGCAGGTTTTTGAAATGTATTAGCCTCAATACCTATATTACCACCTGCTGAAACCTCTCCAATCTTTTCCTTATCCTTTCCGCCACTATTTTGATCTCCAATTTTCACATCAACTGCTGCAGTTCCAGCCTGTGTACCAATCGCAGCTCGATCACTAATAGCACTGTCCAATGTTTGTTTCTCAAATTGAGAATTAACATTGGCACGATCTGTAACAATTTTTAGTGCACCATCAGTTGGTTGTTTTGACAAATCAGCACCAATAGCACATTTACCACCTGAGGAACCAATTCCAACCTTTGCCTTATCTTCTCCTGCATTGTTTTGATATGTTGCTGCCATATGCATTGTTCCATTCCCAGCTTGTGCATTCACAATGGCTCGATCAGCAGCAGTTTTTAAAGCACCAGCAGTAGCCAAATACATCCTTGTAAACACTGTAGATGCAGGGACATCCCTTGAAGGTTTAGGAGGCCTCTTGTCCAGTTTTACACACTCCTCTATAGGCACACCTGGAATTGTAGTATGTGCTGCTGCTATACTGCTTGCTGCACCATCAATACTACACACCACTCCATCTCGATTTTGTTCTGTATTCTCCCTATCATAAGTCTTCCCAGTTGACAGATTTTGTACTGCACTAGCAGGAACAGCACTTACTCGATTCACCTGGATATCATTGATCTCATTAACAATTTGTTTTCCTCCTGTATGCAATACCTGTTCCTCTGCATTTTTTTTGTTTGTCTGCTGCATCACTCAGTTGTACAACCCTCTTAGAATTAGAAATTCCCTAGCATCCCCTTGTAATTTCTCACCACTGCCCAGTTCCTCTGTTTCCTCCCTCTCAACTACATCCCCCTTACTTTTCTCGAGCCTCCAACGACACAATTTTTCATCGTGTCCTTGATGTTTACAACAAGTGCAGTATTTTGGGAGATTATCATACACAATCTCTTGATAATATTCAACTAGCTTCCCAGATTTCGTATCCCCAATATGAATCCTAATTCTCTTAGGATGTTTATCCAATAGGTCTAACAACACCTTAACCCTAGCCGTGCTTGGTCGAGTTCGATCTTGAGTCGCTTTGTCCACAGCTAGTGGCTTTCCCACTGCAGATGCTATGGACATTAGAGACTTCTTTGCAAAGAAATTTGCAGGTAACTCAGGTAAGGAGATCCAAACAACTGCCTTCGAAGTTTCTTCTCGCGGATTAAATCCAATTTTCCAAGAAAACGATCTAAAGAAGAACTCATCTCCCTTCGACTTAACATATCCTGTTGATCTTGATAAAACTTGAACAAAATCTTCAAACAAATCAAACCTTACCAGAATATGACGATATTCCAATTGTCCGATATTACAGTAGCCCTTAACATCAAATTGTTTCGAAAAAATCTGTCGCAACTCCTGAAGATCAGGTTTTCCATACGAAAACTTAAGGATTACTGCTTGAAGAAGACCTTCTTCGATGGTGAATGCATTCACTTCATCTATAGTGAATTCTACTATTGGTATACCATGTTCAAACGTAACTGGACATAATTCTAGTTTTGAAGCTTTTCCGGCAGAAACTTTTCCTACAAGCTGAGTTGCATAAGATTGTTTGTTACTGGGATTTGGACGTGATTCTATGGTATTTTGAATTGCCTCTCCCACAGCCACAGGCTGGGGAGAGGTTGCAGCAGCCATGGCTGTACCTCAACGAGAAGGACAAGTTAGAGAGAGAAAGTAGAGAGAAGGCAGAGCAAAACGTCTAAAAAATACTTCACATCCAACGCGGGGGGGGGGGGGGGGGGGGTTGGGACATTAATACAACACGAATAATTCTGACTTGTATTTATGAATTTGGTAGACAACTAAATAAAATCTGACATACCTAGGAATCACATATTTCTTAAGGTGCCATGAAAAGGCTAAGAAAATAAGAACAGAGCTCGGCACAAGCGACAATCAGCAGTAACAGCAGTGGACAACAACAATTTCTAGCACCTCAAACTCCAGAATATCCATCCTTAGCCAACTCACGCGTCAACACTCTGTTAAGCTCCACTCAACAACCAAACTTCATTTTTTTTTAAAAATAAATCTTTGAATTTTAGATCTGAACTCTTTAATTTTTAGCTCTTTGTTCAGAGAGAGAGCAATCGGGATGAGGGAATGGCGCTAGATTTTCACTTTGAGGGAGGGGATGGTCAGTTTTCTCCGTTGAAGAGTGAAAGAGGAGCGTCGTTGCTCTTAGAAATTGGGGAGGAGAGCTTTTCTTATTTTCTTCTCCTGTGAATGATCCCAGAGAGTAGCGCCGTTCTTTTTCAAGGGGGTCTCCTCATCTCCCCAACGCGGGGTTTTTTTTAAGCAATCCACTAGGCAGTGCCTAGGGCTAGTTTTATTAATAACTAAAAAGAAAAAAAACGAACCACATAGGAAGAGTACAAATAAGGGGGACAATAGCACCAATGGTGTTGCCTCTATACCTTGGCTATATAATCACTCCTCTGCGCCTCACATTGCCCTTATGGCAGCCTCATGTAGAGGATTATGGTGTAGCTGCCGGCAAAGTCTCACGAGGGCATATAATCTCATAGCCATTTGGATATCTTTCCAAAGGCATAGGGCTAGAGCAACACAACACAAACTGGGCTAAACCTTACCTTACTAATCCTATTGAGGCAACTAAAAAGCCTCTCCTACTCACAAGCATGTAAAAAGAAAGAACTAGCTAACACTAGATATTCTATGATCATCACAGAGTTTATAACATACTCTGTGATGATATTACATAAAACTATGCTAATGTGATGGTAAAATAAGAATATGCAGAAATCACAGTGATGTCCATTGTTCTCTAATTTTGTGAAGTCTTCAACTTGTAGACACATGTCTTCATCCTCTACTCTTTTCAAAAAGTCTTTAAAATTCATGCTTTCTTCTTTGAACGATTTGATTTTGTAGATGTTGTTTGGGTAATCTGCTTTTGTTTGGCAACTCTCATTGGAAGTCGCCTTACATTTGCATCTTCATTGACTCTACCGTCCCAACTTTTATCTCTTGTATGTGACTTCTTTCTTTTGCCGCTATGCATAGGTGATAAATCACCTTTTCTTGCTGCCTCTGCCCGGCTTTGGTTTAAGATGTCATCTTCCTCACCCTCTGCATATATATCTCTACTCTCAAGCACCAGATTTGGCAATTGTTGATCAACACCTTGTGTCACCAATTTGTTTTCCTCATGTACTCTAACTATGCTTGCCTGATTTTGTTATTTTCTTTGTAATGTAGTCCTGCTCCTACTCCCACGACCAGTGCTATAAGCATTATTATTTAATGAGTGAGGAGGATCAGTACTTACCAGTGCATCCAAAAGTTTTCTTTCCTCTAACAAGATATCTGGAGCAGTTGTGACAAGTTGTTGCTGCCCCGACTTTGGCTTTGTTGCTACTTCACGGTCACTACTGTTTGGATCACTTTGATGCTGCTGCTCAATAGGAGTTGATGTGATTACAATTCGACTTGTATTCTCGCCTAGTGTGGTCTGCTTTGACGTTGTTGTTGCTTCTTGAATTAACATTCCATTTGCTGCTTTTTTCATAACAGGAGCTGATGCACTTCTGGGAATAAATTCTGGAGCGTGAAGGTTCAATTTGCTCACAAGACTTACTGCTGTTGTCCCATTAGGATTAGGCTTAGCATCCAGATCTTCACCTGCACTTTCTTGATCGACCTCTTGATCCCCCTCTTCAACTGAGTAACCTGCAAAACCATCTCCCCAGTCCTCTTCATCATCTTCCTCTCGTTGATCTTGCCACAATTTGGATTTAATAGCCATAAGCCTCACGTTTGCTTGTATAACCTCGTTGTTATTCCCCGTTGACAACATGAGCTTCCCAGATTCTCCTTCAACTTCCCCATATGACTCCACTGATTGGGAAGGCACATCAAAAATAGAAGTGTTGAGAGGGACCAATGGTTGTTTAACCATGGTATTCTTCATCACCATTTCTTTTTGAACATCTTTGATAATTTGTTTAACTTGGGGATTAGAAAAATGCAATTTAGTAACGTTATAACTGTGGGCTTGAATATTCACCAGATCAATGCTTAAAACGTTCTTTGAGTCATTTAGTCGACTGCCCAACTTTTCACCCAGTTCATGACTGCCTTGTCCTCCTCGATCATTGCTGGGCATTGGAACTAACTGTTTGGATGTCTCATTACCCTTTAAACCTGTTGCATCAGCTTCAGATTCCCCAGCATTACCAAGAACCTCAAATGTATTTGAGTTAGATCCATTGTTAAAAGCGTTCCGTCGAATACTTTCTTTCTGCTGTTTTGGTGAAGCACCACTTTTTGTGGGTGATTTTCTTGATCCTACTAAGTTCCAATCACCTTTCTTATTGTTCATATCTCCTAACTTATCATCCTCTACTATATTCCCAGCCTTACTTTCCTTTAACAAGCTCTTATTACCCATGTTTACCTTCCCAGAAGTCTGGGCAACGTCTTACTGTCAGAGGTTTGGTTTGCAAAATTTTGTTCTCCAGTTGCCCTGTCTAGTGTTCCTGTCTCAGCATGTGAATTACCAGCAGCCTTACCCTATTGAATCAATTCCATCTTCTCACTAATTTCCTCATTGACCTTAGCAATTTGTACAGGCGCCTCATCACGATCAAAATCCTTCTTTGAAGCTGTACCATCTGATAAAATTTTTGCAGCAATCGCCAGTTTATCATATGCTTCTACAATTGGATTCACAACATTAGAAATCCTTGCTAAGGCTAACCTAGCAGGAACATCTCGTGAAGGCTTAGATGGACCCTTATCAATATTGCAAGCATTCCCAGTAACATTAATAGGAACATTAGCTGTATGTTGTCCTTCTACCCTTGGAACTACCTGCTGCTCAACTACATCCTTATTTGGTGCATCATCTAATATCTTCCCATCTTTCTCTGCTACTTCTCTACCAATTTGTACTGCTCTTTTAGCAATTAAATAGTCCCTAGCATCCCCTTGAAGTTGTTCAACCATATTAGTCTCATGACTGGGCAGAATACTTTCCTCTAGCGTACCTTCTGCAACAACCTCCTATTCTTCTTGTTTCTTCCTTAATCGACACGATTTTTCCTTGTGCCCTTGATGCTTGCAATACGTGAAATAACTTGGGAGATTGTCATAAACAACTTCTTGATCATGCACGATGGATTTTCCAGTAATTCTATCCGTCATAAGAATTTTAACTTTTTAGGATGTTTGTCCATAATATCCAGTATGACCTTAACTCGAGCAGCACTAGGTCGAGTTTTCTCTTGCGTTGCCTTATCCACAACAATTGCTTTACCCACAGCAAATGCAATAGATAACAATGACCTCTTTGCAAAGAAATTAGGAGGCAAACCTGGGAATGATATCCACACAACTGCCATTGACATTTCCTCCTTCGGATTGAAACCTAACGTCCATGGAAACGCTCTAAAGAAGAATTCCTCACCTTTAGATTTCATATATCCTGTCGCCTTTGATAAAAATTTAACATAGTCATTGAATATATCAAATCTCACCAACAGATGACGATATCCGATATTACATCGACCTTCAATATCAAACTGCGATGGAAGATTCTTTCTGATCTCTTGCAACTCCGGTTTTCCATATGAAAACTTCATCACAACTTCCTGATGCAGACCTTCTTCTCTTGTAAATTCATTAACCTCATCCATGGTGAACTCAATTATTGGCTCTCCATGCACGACAACAACAGGAACCAAATCGAGTTTTGACGCGGCATATTGTTTTTGTTGAAGCTGGGCTGCGTAAGATTGTTTTGGATTGGAATTTGTTGGATGTTCAGCAGTGTTTTTGTTTGTCTCTCCCACAGCCAAAGGCTGAGGAGAGATCACAGCAGCCATGGCTACCAAAAGCTTAAGAATCGCCTAGAGAGAGAAAGTAGAGAGAAGGGAGAGCGGGGTGTGAATGAGAATCTCAAATCATAATGCTGATATGATTTTTTTTTAATTTTTTTAAGCAATCCACTAGGCAGGTGCCTAGGGCTAGTTTTATTAATAATAAAAAACGAACCACATAGGAAGAGTACATGTAAGGGGGGCATGGACCTTACCTTACTAATCCTATTGAGGCAAAGAAAAAGCCTCATCTTCTAGCAAGCATGTAAAAAATAGGAACTTGAAAGAACCAAATATTCTATGATCGCCATAGAGTTTATAACACACTCTACGACGCTATTACAAATGATGATGCTTTGAAAATGATAAACTAAAACCATGTAGAACTTATAGTGTTGCCCCTCATTTATCAAAATTGTGAATTCTTTAATTTGAACTTCCTTAAAATCCTCTTTACCTGTCTTCAAGTAATCTTCAAAATTCTTCATTTCTTCTCCGATCTATTGGACCTTGTAGATGTGGCAGGGGCAACCCCTTTTTGCTTTGCAGCTCTCATTGGAAGTTGTCTGAGTGTTACTCCTTGATTAGCCTCCTTCATTTTACTATGCTTAGGAGAGAAATCTCCACTTGTGGCTGCCAATTCATCTTCTTCTGCTTCATCATAAATATCAAGACGTAAGTTGAGCTCTAGTTTTTGATTATCTTCTTCTTGTAAAATCATCTGTAATGGTTCCTGCCTCTTTACTCTCTTTGCACTACTTGGCTCATGTCTCTTTGCTTTTATCTTTTGTG